TTTTGAATAACATACCTGTTTTCTTTTACTCATAAAATAACTTGATAATTTTTAATTCTATTAATTAATCTTTTATACTAAAGCTTCCTAAGACCTAATGATTAAAACATTGGTATCTACTACTACCAAACAGTTTATATGGAACAATATTTTAACTGTGCTGCTCTGTTTTCTGATATAGATGATATTCAAACATCAAACATCTTTTCCTGGTAATCATGGAATGAATATAATATATCACCTGCTATGGACAAAATAACTACTATACACTGTATTAGAAAGTTTTGAAACAGCACATTTGAAACTGGTAATTGGTCTGAAATCATATGATTTACATATGAAGTTTTACAATATATTGCTGCATAAATTAAAAAATATACATTAGCAGTTGCAACAGCCAACCAACTTGAATTAATATGCCACAAAAACAAAATAAAAATCTCATAAAACATCACACAGGAATTTTTATTGGATGCAGTGTTACAATAAATTTCATCCATTTGTATCCTTTTAATCTATATAGCAACCTTAATTAGTATTAGACTGTAATCCCTGTTTAATTAAGATGGTTTTATAGTAGCACAGAATGTAGTTACCATGTATATTTCATACAACATGTAAGGTTAGCACAGGAAACCAGTCTTGCCTGAAATTTATAGTTCCCTATAAACACACTCTTCTAATGGTTATTATGTGTGACAACATACATTTTGCTTTTCACTGACATGTGACAATCACTTCCAAATGCATGGTTTATGATTTTCATTGCCACTCAACATTTCTCCAGTAACATTAATAATACATACTTGTGCTTTTCAAATCACCTCTGTTCATTTTTAGTGTGCAACTCACGGAGGAAGAAAAAACATCATGGTTAACCTATTCACACAAACACAGAAATTATCAGTGCTGTTATAAAAAAACAAAAAAAACAGCATGTTGTTGCCTGGCAGTGGGTTTCATATATTAATGTGCTCTTAAATAAAGCACTCTCCATGTATTGGATTAAATAGTATTGAAGAAATATTGTACAATAAAACTACACGTCTCATATTAAATGCACCACTGATGAGTTTAAAACACTTCAAGACTGTAAATCAGTACACCCAATGTACACTCAATACAGCCAGGAATACAAGAAACTGGCACTAATGACATCTTGTGAACAAGATTAGGATGAGAATGATGAAAACCAAGATGTGATGTGACTAATCCTAATATTTGTTGTTTTCGATAGAAGGGTTTTGAATTGACAACTACCTGGAAAACAAATGTGTCACCCCAATAGCAATAGGAGTAGTATCACAGTGTTCAACTGCTTTAGCTGATTACATAGAGTTACAGGAAACTATGAATAACTTGAATTTTGTCCTGTCATTACATTGTATTCATGGAATCATTCCAGGATGGACTATAACTCTTTCATTTTGATAGTGCCCAATGCCCTACTGTACACCAAATCAAGCAGTGGTTTAAGATGTGCCTTGGATGAACTGCTCTAGAATACAAACAAAGGATCAGACCCTGAAACCACACTACTCTTGGAGCTGTTTCTTAACTCTCTAAACACAGGCTTGGCTGAATTGACCAACCACATGACCACTTTGTACTTGTTATAGTTTTGATACTACTAACTTTTAATATATGTGAATCTTCATAAAATTTGGCAGAATTTCTGTAAACATTACATCTTTTACATTTTAAAAAATCAGATTCTTTTAGTGAAGTATTTTTAATAAAGATTTGTCATGTCTTTTTCTGACTAGTCCAAGTGCAAAGTGATTTTCATGTTAAGATTAAATCTCAAGTTTCATTTGTGTAATCTCTAAAACCTCCTAAATACATTTCAAAATTTTTTCAGTAGAACTTTATATTTTATCTGTTATTTTCTCTACCCTAACTCTATACAAGGTTGGTCAATTTGACTGACCTCACAACCAACGAAAAAAAAAAAAGAGAAAGAAATCTAAATTACCCTTTTTCTTTCTAGAATAACTTCAAGTAGTAACATGAAACTACATTTGTTTATCCTAAGTAGCTTTAAACTCCTAACATTATACATCTATTTATACTTATATTTTATTGTTTCATTGCCCTTTGAACCGTGTCTAACTATTAATGATGCCATTATAAGTTGTAAATCACTTGGGGAACATGTGGCTCACGTTACGCTATCAAATTACATTACCCACGATCTACTCTGAACTGCTCACGTGCATGCCTTGTGAAATTTTTTATTATTTTATTATTATTATTATTTATTTTGCCTAATCTAACCATAACTAACC